AAGTTTTTTTTTTTTTTTTGTAGATTCACCCTTGCTCCATTCGGGATCGACCTACTTCTTCACTGCTACCATTGACGAGCTTTTCATACCAGTCAATCCAGGTAATGGAAATTTTTTGATTCGTTGATATTTTTTTACATTGTTATAGAATACCTCTGATATAGATGTGAATAGAAATTTTTTAGCAAAGTTTGTGTATATCCGAAGTATTTAACAGCAAGGTTTTAGTGTGCTTCAGCTGAAATACTTGTTTTAGTTGCTTTCAATGTTCTACATTCATTTGAATATGATATGAGACACTTGTTTATGTTAATGTTATTCAAATTAATATTGTGAGATGAGACACTTGTGAATACTGAATTTGTGATTTGCAAGTGATATATTAATGGCTCTTTATTGGGGATATAGGACTGCATGGTCAGCCTTAGCTAAGCTTAACTTGGCTGAGAATGAACTGAAGGACAAGGGTGCTATTTTGATCGTAAAAGCACTGGAAGAAGGCCATGGCCTATTAAAAGAAGTTGATTTCAGCACTAATTCAGTAAGAAGGGCTAGGGCGAGGTCCTTAGCACAAGCTGTGGTAAATAATCCTGAGTTTAAGTTGCTGAATATCAATGGGAATTGCATTTCTGATGAAGATATTGATGAGGTAAAGGACATATTCAAGAAATCACCTGATGGGCTAGGGCCCTTTGATGGGAATGATGAGGAAGGGGGAGAAAGTGATGAAGAGGAAGAGAAGGGTGATGAAAATGGGGATGAATTGGAACCAAAACTTAAACATCTTGGAGTCAGCAAGGAGGAATAGCAGACTATGATGGATTTTGATATTGACTTTTAACTTGTGGAAGAGGTTTAAAGTATTTTTCTTGTGATATTTGGAATTGATCAGCTCATTGAATCCTATTAATACAGTTATTGATTCTGTAACACAACCACTCGAGTCAGTAATGGGTCATGTTTTTTTACTTGTTTTCTCCCCATTTCAAGAACACTAGTTCAATTAATTAATTATTTTTTATTTCTGATGTTACTTTAGCGAATTGGAATGGATTTTGTTCTGTTTTTTGCTTAGATGGTTGATATGTTTTGAGATATTCTGGTATGTGTGAGTTGTGCTTGATTCAAATTTCCTCATAAATCCAAGTCTTTTGTGGCTTGATGGCCTCCAAATAACAAGGGCAATAGAGTTTCTATTACCAAAAGATTTTTAACACTACTTAAGCAAATAACAGTTATATATTTTAAAATTTGGTCTAATTGTAATGCAACTTAATTTTGAATAAAATATTACTAATCTTATCCATGGGGTTATGGTGAATTGTATTTTCTAATAAGTTCAGTTTTTACCACCTCCTCAAATTTGTGAAAATTAATGTTGATCATGTGATGATTTTATGCAATTTGAATTAAATTATAAGTAACTATTTTCATTTTTAATGCTATAGTGTTAAAATCAAGGTTCATAGTATTAGAAAGACAAAGAATGTTGGATAGGCAAACTTAAGAGATGTATGATACACTTTGGACACCCATGCGTACAGTGGAAAAATTAGGATACACATGCACTTTTCTAGTGAAACTCCAATAAATCCTAAGGATTCAATAACACTAAATTCAAGTCTTGGATGGTTATAAATGAGGTATATGCATATAAAAAACATATTTATGTGAAGTGTGAACTATTAGGACACACTTGAAAAATGTTAAAAAGTATACAAGAATTAAAGACACACCATGTATATCTTAAATTTTTTTGGACACCAATATTGTTCCAATAGAAAAGTAAATATTAAAATTTAAAACAGAAACAATTACCAAAATGAAGGTGTAGTCTTAACTGGTCAGTGGGTTGTTTTGCCATCTATTGATACAGGTTCAAGTAAACTTGTCTTACTACAAATTTCTAAATGCTCTCTCACCCCTAAGAGTTTAAATGTGCAAAGCTATTCCCTTCATCTTGCTACTCAGTTTTACAACATTAGAGTTTATAGAAAATGAAAATGGTTGGTTATCAATAGAATTTCATCTTTTAGAGTAAAACTATGGCATCTGAAACCCAAGTAATTGGTCCAACAAACCTTCTCTCAAATGGCTTCTTCCCTTACCTCCCTCCTCTATGTCCATGTACATTAGTGCATGCAACTTTTGTTAATTAGGCTGCATTTGTTTGCAATGCAAATGCTAGTTCAATACATAAATGCACTCTGGGTCAGTTTTACAAGTGTTTGGTAGGCATGCATTTGTGTATATATCGATAATGACAGCTATCAGAACTTCCAAGACATGCATTTGTAAATTAGGGTTTGGGGGTATAGGACTGCATGGGAAGTATTTGAAAATCCCTGTGTACAGCTCTTTGTCGTACATGTTTTTTTCTCTATTCAAAGATATTATACTTTACCTGTTTCAAAAAAAAAAAAAAAGTGCAGGAGGCTCATCTGAGGATCCTATTATTGGATTAGCTCCAAAATAAACTTGAGATTGTTTTTTTAATGGGTGAATTTCAGAATTTTCAGTCAATGTTCTTTTATTGTGTTGAAGCCATGCCAAAGTTTGCTTAACCTTTTTGGTCTTCTCCTGGTTCTTCTAGCCCTTTCAACTTGTAACAGATCACTGTGCTGTAAATGGACTCCAAGATATGTATGATCAGATGCTGATTCCTGTTTCCATAAACATGGAACACTGCCTTCTGACCTTAACTGTATCTTTCTGGTATGTTTAATCCACCCCTAAACCTTAATTGGATCCATTTCCAGCCCTACACACACTTTTTCATCAGTTCACTAGTTTTTATCAGTTGGAGTACTGGCCTTGCTTTATGGCCCCAGCCTCAGGTGGATGCATTTCTCTAAGGTTTTAGCAGGTAGATGTGCAGGGTGATTTTCAAAGGTGGTGTTGGTTGGAGCAGAGATGGTTTTGATCATTCCTGGATGGATCTTTGGTTTATCTAATTTGATTACCAATAGTCTTCTGAAGGGTGGGGTTGGGACTGAACCATATTGTGGGGGTCTTTACTCTCTAGGTAGCATCATTTTCTTTGTGCTTAAAAAATAGATAAAATTCCACAAATTTCCTTATTTTGTCCAAGGCAGAACTCCCAAGATGATCACTTCCTCCCCTTCTCTAGTATGAGTTCTGTTTATTAAAGGGACCTATAACTCGTAAAACAACTCCTATTGAATTCACTCAGGTTGGAGGGGGGGGATTCCCCCTCCAAGATCCTTATGTTCTATATGCAATTCTTCTTCCAAATTTGAAATTTCATTTCCTTTCTTAGTTTCTTTATCTTGGAGATCATAGATTACTTCGGTTAAAATTAATTACCTCCTTCCCCTCTCCACTAAAAATTCGGTCAATTAAGTATGAGTTCATTTTTTTCTTGGGGAAGATGAATTATGAACGTTTAGTGCTTTGAGAGTTGGAGTGAAGCTCAGGCAGTAGAGGGGATGGATGGATAAAAGTCAAGTGAGGATATAAAGGAAGGAAGAACTAGGAGGTAAGGGAGGGATAAGATAGAAGGGATCAATGGGTGGTTTTCTCTTGGTAACTGTACTCTTAGCGTGGACACTGGTTCTCCTCGTCTACTTCCTCCAATGGCAAGAGATTCCCTCGGGCCCCATGAAGCTTTAAGTGGCCGCTACATCCTTGTGAGCAATACACAGACCTGGATGGGCCCTGCTCAGATGATCACAGAGAAACTAAAACTTTACCTGACATACCAACTATCTGCTTGGGTTTGCATTAGTCCAGGAACAACTAGTCCTCAAAATGTAAATTTTGCACTTAGTGTGGATAACCAGTGGGTCAATGGGGGCCAAGTTGAGGTTWATGATGATAGGTGGCATGAAATGGCAGGTTCTTTTAGAAATGAGRAGCAACCATCCAAAGTTATGGTCTATATCCAAGGATCATCTTCAGGTGTCAACTCAATGGTTGYAGGGCTTCAAATTTTCCCTATTGATAAAAAACAAGATTTAAACATTTAAAGAAGCAGACTAACAAGGTATTTTTGTTTGTTTTATGAAAAGCTCAATATATTTTACTTATCATTTCATTTTTTATGCTGTATTATGTATCTTTGGATTGTACTTTTATATTTTCCAAGGTTTTGGCTTGTAAAATAGCTGATTATGCAAGATTACAGACCTATAGTGTCACAACTGCTGAGATTGTTCAATAAATTTGCTCAGTGATATTTAGTGAGCTGATTCACAAGATTGTGAAATTGATTAACCATGGTCGTGATTAGTTATATATAGGAAACAAAGGCACACTTTATGTCTATCAATTTTTTTATGTGAGATTACTGATTTACCTGGACGGCCTAATCTATTTTTAATGTTTGAGCTCTGCGTGAGTTGGGTCTTTTCACCAAAATTTTCTTCTCACGTTAATTGTTTAACTATGTTACCCTTTCTGTTCTGCAGATACACAAGCACAATGTCATCCCAAAATTTGCAGGATCTGATGTCAGTAATTTGTTTGGCACATTTGTGAAGTTAAACAGACACAAAACAGTTTCCCATTTGGCTCATGTATGAATAGAACAAATATAGACAATGAAGATTTTGTTGATTTCTTTGTTAAGAATTTCAACTCTGTTACACTTAAAGGTTCTAAAGGGTTAGCTTTTTGTAGATGGGTTTTGTGAGAAATTGTTGTACATTTTTTCATTTTTATGGTGGAGAATGATTTTTTCTTTTTGTGATTTTTGTTTGTTTGTGTTTTTCTTTTCATTTTTTTCATATTTTCTCCATATATATGCACTTGTTAGCAGGTTGCCAATGTGCGTATATGTTGAAAATATATAAAAAGTGGTTGTTTCTGAGGTTCTTTTAATTGGGGCAAAATTGGAAACTTTGGCTGATTCCGATTCCAGCTTCTAATTGAACCAAACAGAAGGATACGGAATCCGGACTGAACCAAACAGATGTTAGGAATAGGTGATTCCGATTCCAATTCCTGGGAATTCCGATTCCAATTCCGGTCCTGTCTGCGAATAATTACTGAAAATAGAAGAGAAGAGATTGCGAATAATTCAGCTAAACTACAAGAAAATATATTTCTAGCGGCAGTTTTAAACCTGACTGTTTAACGTCTGCCACTAGAAATATTAATATGTAGCGGCAGTCGATTAAAACTGCCCCTAGACAACAAACGGCTGCCGCTACATAAAAAGGCACAAGTTTCACTTTGCCTTGCTCGCGCCTCTTCCCGTCATCTCTCCTCACTCGCTCAGTCGTCTATCGCTTTCTCTGTCTCTTTCTCTCCCCCTTTCTCTCACAGTCGCCCCTCTCTCACGCTCTCTCTTTCTCTCTCTCTCTCTCTCAGTTGTCCCTCTTTCTCTCTCTCTCTCTTGTTCTGTCAAGGGAGCGATGTCTCTGTCAAAATAGTGTTCTGAGGTAAAGTCGATGCTTCTTCAGGCCTTCTTCTCGGATTGGAATTCTAGGTTTTATTTCTAGGTAAAGTCTAACTTGATGTAAGGTTGGTTCTTCGAAAAATATATGCATTCTAGGTTTCATTTCTATTGTTTTGTTTTTTCGTTTTTTTACCTCTGTTTTGGCCCTGATTGCTGGTCATTTGCCTTTTCCAACCTTTATCAGTATTTTGATTTTTTTTTTCCAATTTACTGTTTGTTTTCTTAGCATGATAGAATCGAGCTCACTTCCTGAACTTATAGATTTAGGGTTTTTGTCCTTCATTTGATACTTCCACTTATAGGAAGTTAGGAATATTTGTTTTAGTTCTGATATTTAAGCAGCGTACATATGAATTTTTAGATCTGCTGTAGATCTGCTATTCGACGCTTTTGGTTCTGGCTTAGACTCTATTCGACTCTAAATCTTCTGATGTAGATCTGCTAAATCTTCTGATGTTGACATGATTAACTACTCTTATAGTTTGATGTACTTTATAGATCTAGACTCTTTTAAATGATTAAAATAATAAGGTGTTTTCTGCTAACCCTTGGCTTTGTCTCTAATCTTAGATAACTATAGGGTGATTGACATGATTAAAATAATAAGCCATTGACATGATTAACTACATTCATCCTGATCTGATTTGACAATGGTCTGACCAGATAACTATAGGGTAATTGCAGCACCGCACATATAAGAATATTTGAGAGAAATTTGAAGATATAAAAATGTAGTGGTAACTTCCTTGCAGTTATTTTTGGTAGGTTTCCAAATAACCTAAAAATCAATCTTAATATTTAGAATTATGAAATTGTCATCAGTTTTTAGTTTCAGATTTCTAGGTATGGATAGTAATTGGAAAATTGTCAAGATATGAGTCAGGCCTCATTGGAAATTTAGGATAGGTTGTTTTGCTTGATAAAGTAGTATAGATATATAATTCATAATTTGAACAGTTAGGGCTATTGTTCTCATGGTTATCAATACAATTCATTTGAACCCAAATAGGTGGAAGCTTGGTTCACCCTACAGTCATGTCATAAGAAAGACATAATTAAACATTTCTTTTGGTTTTATGAAGCTGAATATTAGATTGTTCAGTAGCTACAAGAATAGAAATAATATACTCGCTTAAGGAAAGAAAATAGCAATAGAAACAGTATTTTCGACCAATGGCTGGGTAAAAAAAATCTAGAAAGAGGATTAGCTTTTAAAGCTTGGACATCTTGAAGTTGAAAATAGCTGGGTAAAAAATATAGAAACAGGATTTATGACCAATAGAAACAGTATTTAAAAGCTTGGACATCTTGAAGTTCAGAATAACTTGGTAAAAAAAATATAGGAAAGTCAATGGGTTGGCCTCTTTTGAAGGCCATGATAAAGGAAAGAGGATTAGCTTTTAACAAACAACACAAAAAGAAAGCCGTTAGATTTGGTAAAAGGAAGGAAAAAAGTTGGGAATTATCTTGTTTAAAGTTAGTCATTTTCTGAAGTGGTTTAATATAATGCCTTTCATATACAGGCCCCACAAACAAGTTCTTCCCCTCCTACAGCAACTCCCCAAGTTATGCCAGCAACATCAGCTCTGTGAGTTTTTCATTTACTTTCTATTGCATTTGAGTGGCCTTTGGACCATTATACTTTATATGTTGTTGGTTAACTTTCTTCATTTGGCAGGTCACCATCAGTTCCTCTACCTGCACCTACCCCTGTCATAGCCACCCCTGCTTCTACTACTGTCCCGTGAGCTCTCTTCTTTGTCTTACATACATATTTTTGTAGGACATATATGTTTTCCTTATGTATATATTAATATAAACATGTATTTCAATATTGGAGTGGATCCATTTTGGGATCAAATTCAGATTGCCTTAATCAAATTCCACTTAAAACCTGAACAAACAGCTACAGTTTGCAGCTCTATGTCCTTTTACATTAATATTAACAAGAGGAATGGATCTCTGGTTCACGTTTGTTATGTTTCTTTATAGGGGGTTGGGTTCAGCATCAATGAATTGATAATAAATTTTGGGATTTGAGGGTCCTTGTTTGTTTTCCTGTGAATGTCTATTGTGCATTGGTCCTTCTTATAGTTTGGTCACATACAAGCACTGTAGGTCAGCTATTGGATGGAAAGATACATGCAGAAATAGCAAAATTCAGACACAATAATGTAGGTCAGCTATTGTAGTAGTATGGAACTAAAGGACTAGTGTTATCACACCCTTGTTACATCAGTTCTGGGGTCTGCCCAGCCTGAGATGGCAGTCTGTCATCCCAAGCAGGAAGCTGTAAGAGCTGATATGGCTTGACATGGAAGCCTTGATATAACCACAGCTTGCCAAATTGGCCTATGGGACAACAGAGATGTACCTAGGAAGGAGGATCCTCATTATCACACTCTTTGACTTGTGCACCTAGGAAGGAGGATCCTCATTATCAAAACTACCACTTCAATCAGGTCCAATTCTTTATTATTAAAATACTTGTGAGATAGTCCTTTCTTAAAAGATTCTACCTAGATAAACTATCTTCATTCTCCATTTGTTTGAAAAATATAAGATAAATTACCTACCATCCCCATCTCCTCCCCCCTTAATATTATTTCTTGATCATCAAACAACAAAAGCATGAAATCATAAAAAAATGAAAACAGAAGAAAGAAAAGTCTTGTAGAGACAGTCAAGGACATCTTGTTATAGAACTTAAGAAATAATTGATGAGAGAAAAGTCCAATATACATCCATTACAGATGGACCAGGTTTGTTCCAGTCTGAAACCAGGCAATAGATGAGAGAAAAGAGAAAGTTGGAAACTGGACTAGCCAAGGAGATTGGAGTGAGCCGATTTGCTTCTGAAGGCATCTGTAAGAAAGAGAGCCCTATATCAAGTAGCTATTTTAGGTCTTATTCTGATCAATAGTTTGCTGGTACGGAGTTGTCATTTACAAGGGAATGAGGAAATGATATCAGGAACAAATACTATTTCTCCCTACTGAGATTTTGATCAATAGACTGTTAATGCTCTATATCATATCTTTTATTGAATGCTTGCAGTCTTTATTAAATTATTTATGAGATTTCATTATTAAATATGTTTATATATTTGAGCAGTGAGACTGAATCATTATTTTGTGGTTGACTAGTTAGCACTGAAAGCACCAACTAGTCACTACACTGCATAAGGAGGCCATAACAACTAGATATCTTATTTATCAAAAAAAAAAAAAAAACTTGATATTCACCACATTGGCAACACCTTATTGTTGACCCTTCTGTGCACCTAAAGAATTAGCACAAGTGTTTGTCTCTCTGAGGTTTAGTCCCGTGGCTTAGTTCCAGTTCTGGAACATTGCATGTCAAGTGTGTGCATCTTATAGCCAAGCCTTGTGTACAAGTGCAAAGTTAGAAGTTTATAACTATTCGAATGTCTTTCTCCAAGAGATTTAGTTTTATCATCTCATTATAGTGATGGAAAAGTCACAAACCAATGTCTGAATATTATAGGGGATAATTTGGACTGGAAGTACTTCCAATAGGAAATTTTGAAAAGCAGATTGCTTACTGAGGACTAAAATGCTGTAACTGTATTATTGAAAAATTTGTTACTCAATGTTTCATATAAAAAATCAGCAAATCCTCAGTCAATTGTATTGCCATACCAGACTCATTTAGCCTGATCTGAACAAACTTGCAACACCAGTCAACATCACAAAACAGTTTTGGCATTGTAAATTCCTTTTAGGCTATATCTGCAGGAGCAATATAGGGGTTGTCCAATGTATGCAGTATGCCGTTCTTTTGTGTAATTGAACAAGGCAACTGATTGATCCAGTGTATAGCATCTTTGGGTGGATGGTATAAGAAACCACTAATGGTGAAGCTATGGTATATCATGCTGGAAAATTGTAGTAGTAGAACATAAGATCCTGAAGCTTATATGATGTTTATATGTTAAGTACTGTGTTGAATACGTTTCCCTTGTTTCTCACTGTGGTTTGTAGGATAAACTTATGTTGTTATCCTATGTCTTCTATGGACTTATAGTATACAATGGATTCTCAGATCTTCATGAAGACAGGCACTATTTGACTGATCATCCTGGATTGGTGCCTATAACCACTGCACAGGTATGATTTCTTTCCATGTAGAGTATTCCTAATCCTTCACTTCCATGTGAGTGAAGACTTTAGAATTATTGGTATGGTTGTCGGAAGTCATTTAGCACCACATGATTCAGCAAACTGTGGGTCAGAGCATACTGAAGGAGGGGAGTCTTTTTCTTTTCTCTTAACTGAGTTAATAATTCCCTCCTTTCTGAGGCTAGCTTTAGGCTACTATATATATTAACCAAATATATAGTAGCAAACAGAGAATTGTGGAGATGAGGTGTGCTTGGTGTTGGTGTGAGAAGACGATGGTGGTGGAGGTGTCCTTATTGTATTATTATTTTAGCTGCCTTCTTCTTCTCTGTTACTTGCAATTTGGTGGATGCCAAGCCCAAGCCCAAGCCCAAGAAGGGTATCACTACTGTGTGGAGAAGGAAAGGGTGGCTCTTTTACAACTCAGAGACTCAGCATTCAATCATCATCCAGATGCGTCCTCCAAAATGTATAACTGGGGGGATAATGGAGATGATTGTTGTAGATGGAAAGGGGTGGAGTGCGACTTATCTTCTTCCCCATTCACAGTGGTTGGAATAAGCATTTTGGGTGAAAGGGGAAGTGAAGGATTAGGAATATGGTACCCAAATGCTACCATTTTGTAACTGTCTAATCTTTAACATTATTCTTTTGTCTGGACAAGATGGAATTTACTGGAAAATTAGTGCATTAAAAAATGAATCAAAACATGAAGGTAAATATTTATTATTTGTAGCATAATGGAAGGCTAAGGTATTCCAAAAATTGAAAAGAAGTATCATTTTTGCACTTAATTAATTAAAATCAAACCATTGAAGTCATGCATCTATACTTTGGATAACCTTTTGATGTTTATGGGCAATAAATGTTTATTGTTTAATGAATCCAGGAGGATATGTTGATCTGGGCACTCTTGTACATGAGTCTCCGCGAGATGCCCCAACCTTGTGGGAGATTGGTGTTCCTGACCGCTCAGCTGCTGAGTTCTTCATCCCAAATCTCGACTCCCGCTATGTCAACCCACTCTACATAAATCAGGACAGGTATCTATTTTGCTACCAGATTACCAATAGTAACTTCATCTCAGCAACAAAAAGATAAGAAACCCAGTTTTTTTTTAGTTCCCAGTTCCATTAATTACAACACCAAAATCAAATAAGTGTTAATTTTAAGCATTGTTTGTTATAGTTGTTGATTCTTCTTTCTGAATGCATGTATATGTAGGTTTAGGCAGTATGGTTTGTGGGATAAGTATGGGCTTATGTATCCCTACCAATATCTAGCTTATACTGTAGGTGTTAGTGACTACTGAAAAGATCGGTTCTACGCACACGTTACAAGGTTGGTTGGACAATTTAATTTCTCAATTTCTTTTCTTCTGGTCTTAGTAATGAATCTAATGACAATGTTCATTGTGCTCCTGACATGATATATGGTTAAGTTACTGAAAATTTTCTTTCACCTTTTGTGTGCAGAACAATCAGCAATCCTGCAGGGCATAAAATCTTATCTGGGTTACTGGTATTGGTACCAAAAATTTGATAGGGAATCGGCCACAAGACAAGCCCTGTTCAAGCTTGCATGGAGACTCAGGAACTGCTCAACTGTAGGTTGTGGGTTATCCTCCTTGGTAGATGTACTTAACTCAGCATATATGCTGTAAAAGAGAAAGAGAAAGATCAGATATCAAAAAAGTTGGTTCAAGGAGAAAAGAAAACATACCAATATCTTACATGCAAGATCTATACCAGTCAAACCAGTAAATTTGCACGAGTTCAATGAATATGATCATCAAACATTGAGAATCAAAGACTAAGAGAGTAGATGTCTTGCTGGTATAGGATGCATTTCCAACTAAAGGATTATTATCCAGTTCATAGGCCAGCCACAATAGAAGGCTAGTTCATTTCCTGGACTTCATTCAACCTACAGCTTCTTAAATGGATTTTGGCTTCTCCATCTTTCTCCAAGAACCTGAAGGTTACTAACTTCAACATCAATCGGCAAAAGAATTGAATATACCATGCAGGTGTTCCGAGTTTGACCTTGTAAAGCTACAGAAATTTGATCCTTGGCGAAGTTGTCCATGAAAATTTATCAATTACCTTGCCTATCTATGAAATCATTTCAAGTCTGATTAGGTGTCATTATTTGTAATTGAAATTACCTTGTAAATTCTTTTACAAACCAAGAATATTTTTTGAATGGAGAATATTTTTTTAAATATTCAAGTCTGATTATGTATTTGTGATTAAAATATTTTGAAATGGAGAACTTTTTTTTAATTTTATTTGTAATTGATGTTTATTTATTTTCGTATTTTATTTCTAGTTAAATGAATACAGAGAAGAGAACAGGAAATTTGAAGAAAATTAGAAAAAAAAGTTATTTGAAAAAAAAGACTTCTAGTGGGATCTTTAACTTTATATCGGCAGCCACGAAAACTGCTGCTAGAACGTTTTAGCGGCAGTTTGCCAACTGCCGGTAAAATCTCTAGTGGCAGTTTTAGGGACTTTTAGTGACAGTTGATTGCCGCTAAAAGTCTTTTTTCTTATAGTGTAACCTGAATTGGTTAGGCCGAGTACCACTCTATTTATAACCACAGTGATTGAGTTATAATGGGATTTACAGAGGATAAGATCCGAGGTGATAGACATTATCTAGGTTAGCTTAGGGTTATCTAGGATAGCTCTTATCTTGAATGTGGATTAGAGTTTTCCTAGTTAATCTAGATAGGTTAGTTATTTACAAGAATCCCAGGGATTTGGTTATTCAAACTTGATGGGCTTGGAGTCTTTAGTGTTTATCATGGTCGTGCATGGGCCCATTGATCTCTATGTTATTATCACCCCACAAGCTGAATGGGGTGACGTGAAGCTTGGCCCGAAGGTGAGAAAATCTTGATGCAGAGAGTGGTTTTGTGAAAACATCTACTATCTGATCTGTTGTGGGAACGTATCGGATCTAAAGCTTCCTCTGAGTGACAAGATCTCAAAGAAAATGGAAATCCACTTCAACATGCTTGGTCCGAGCATGAAAAATAGGGTTGGCTGTCAGGTGGGTAGCACCTAGATTGTCACACTAGAGTATGGGTGGAGCCGAAAAGCCAATGTCTTTGAGAAGAGACTGAATCCACAGTAGCTTTGTCACAGTGTTGACGAGGGATCTAAGCTTGGATTCAATGGTGGAGCGAGCTATGGTTTGCTACAACCAATTGGCGAGATGAGGAACCCCGGAAGTGGAGATTGTGATAGATAGTACCCTTGAGATAGCGAAGGATTCACTTGACTGTTGTCCAATGCTCATCAGTGAGAGTGGAGAAACTAACATATTTTATTAACTGCAAAAGAGATATCCAGAATCCTTGGAGAGGCAACTAGAGGTAGCTATGGGTGAGCTTGTAGGTTTGGCACCTTCTAGATTCATCCAATGTAATAAATCTAGAATGTAGCGTTGCTGTGAGAGGTACAAACTACTAGAGGAACAGCTGACTTCGACACCCAAAAAATAATGAAGTGAGCCTAAATCCTTTAGTGGAAATACCAAAGAAAGTGATTTAAGAAAACCATCAATGGTAGCAGCAAAATTCCTAGTTAAAATTATGTCATCAACATACACCAGGAGCAGTATGGATTTATAAAAGAGACGGATCAGCTGTAGAATTACGAAACCCCATTTGTTTGAGGATGGAGCTCAAACGCAAGTACCAGGCTTGAGGTGCTTGCTTAAGGCCATAGAGAGCCTTTTTCAATTTGCAGATATGAGTTAGGTGTGTGGGATCGACAAACCCTTTGGGTTGATGCACATAGATGTCTTCATCAAGTATGCCATGAAGAAAAGCATTATCTATATCCAATTGATGGACAGGCTAGTTGTGCACAAGGGCAATGGAGAGAATTGTCTATATGATGACCGGTTTGATAACCGAACTAAAAGTGTCAAAATAATCAAGTTTCGGGACCTGATTAAAGCCTTGGGCAACCAGTTGGGCTTTATAGCGATCAATGGTTCCATCAGCCTTATTCTTTATCTTATAAATTCACTTAGTTCTGATGATGTTCATGGAAGGATCATACGAAACTAAGTGCCAAGTATCATTTTTAATGAGCTCCTGATATTCCTTTTGCATAGCCATTTGCCAGTTAGTTGATTTTGCAGCTTGATTAAATTTTTTTTGGTTCTTGCTCTTCGAGGAGAGTAAGAAGAGCGGAGGGAATTGGATACTTTGTCGCAAGCTGAGATCGAGGAAGGGTACCATCCATAGATTGGGTATGCATGAGTGAGAGCGTACCGATTGTGAGACTAGAGTTGTAGTATCCAAAAGTTCCTGAATGCTACAGTACCTCTGTGGTTGATTAGAAGAAGTCTGATCCGAAGGTCCTAAAACTAGAGAGGTAGTAGCCGAACAAGAGCTGGATTCAGGAGAGGTTGGAGGGTGGTGCTGCTGTGATGAAGATGGCAGACATGAAGGTTTAGAATTCCGAGGAGCTAGTACTGAGATGAAAGTGCCTGAAGGAGCAGGAAAGGCACAAGGGGTTGCTTCACCAATTCCCAGAAGTAAGCTCTCATCAAGCACAACATGCCGAGCTATGAAAAGACGCCCTGAAGGAACATACAGACAACGATACCCCTTGTGGAAGGTACTATAACCAATGAAAATACATTGGAGAGATCGAAACTGAAATTTATTCTTGTTGTAGGGTCATAGAAAATGATAGCAAGCACAACCAAAGCAACACAACAAAGAATAATCAGGAGAGGACTGAAAAATCTTCTCATAAGGGGACATACCATTCAGTACCTCAGTTGGCAGTTTATTAATCAGAAAGTTTGCAGTTTCAACCGCGTCAGCCCAGAAGGATAAGGGGCGATTGGAGGAGGCCAATAGAGACAAAGCAGATTCAACCACGTGTCTGTGCTTCCGTTCAACTGATTCGTTCAGCTCATGTGTGTGTGGGCATGCCAATCGATGTGTGATTCCTTGAGAATCAAGATACCACGATAGTGAGCGATATTTTCCACCCCAATCAAACTGAAACACTTTTATTTTTGCATCAAATAGAACAACTTCTACATGTCTCTTGAATTTAGTAAATAAATCAAATACGTCTGATTTTCGAACCATAGGATACACCCAAGAGATTTTTGAAAAATCATCCATAAAAATAACATAATAAGAAAATCCACTATTTGATTTAACAGGAGTAGGTCCCCATACATCTGAGAAAATTAAATCTAACAGACGCTTTGACTGAGAACTAGACAATTTCAAGGGCAATCTATGACTTTTGCCCGTTTGACAGACTCACAAGCTGACTCATTAACACTAGATCTAGTAAACGGAAGACCAAATATGGAAATAACTTGCCATACATTATGCATAGCTTCATGACTAAACCGAAGATGCCAACCATGAAGTGACATGCGTTCCCCAATAAGAGCTTCTGGAGTGATTGTGGCTGGCACAAGAAAGCTGTATAATTCGTCTCTATTGACCCCTCGAAGCAGAATTCTCCCTATATAATCCTTCACATAGCACTAGTCATGGTGAAACTCAAAGAATAAATCATTTTCTTTATAAATCGACTAACAGATAGTAAATTTTTGCAAATAGAGGGAACATGGAAGATATCTTTCAAAGAAAATGCATGCTGATTAAATATCATAGAAGAAGACCCTGTATGGTGAATATTCAAACCTTGACCGTTGCCGACTTTCACCTGATCCGGTCCAGTATACTCAACGAGATTCTGTAGATTTTTGAAATATAGAGTCATGTGATGGGTAGCTCTCGAGTCCAGATACCAGTTGGGATTAAATTATTTTTGTACTGATACTAAGGGGTATTGATGCCTCCATGGAAAGCAGATGGCTCATTGTAGGAATTATCAGTAGTAAAACCAAAAGCATATTTCGCCTTACAACATTACAAAGCACTATGTCCAAATTTATTATAGATCTGGTAGGTAATATTATTCTTACCTCCACGTCCTCTAGAAAATTGTTGAGGTTGACTCTGAAAGGATTGATGATTGTATTGTGGAGATCCACGTCCACGCCCCCTGCTTCTATTATTATTGAAATTTGGAGAAAATTGTTGAGGGGGATTCTGAGGATTACCTTTCTTGGGAGGAACGCTTGCTAGATTTGCACTTCGAGAGTCAAAGGCGAGAGCTAAATCTTCAAGCTAACTTTCATGATTCAGAATAGCTCCCATGATGTCTGCAATGCCAAGGTCTGCTGCATCTGGTCGGTTAGTAAGTGCTGTAACCACAAACTCGTACTCGCTTCCTAAGCCAGAAAGAATATAAAGTACCAATTCCGATTTGAGAACTGGTTCAGACATTGTAGACAAGCTATCAAAAATAGATTTGGCTCATTGTATATATGCAGAAATAGAGAGAGATCCCTTTTTGAGATTTTGCAGTTGTTGCCACAACTATAGTACCCTAGAACAGGAGTGGGTGGAATAATTGTGAGCAAGGGAAGTCCATACCTCTGATGATGTCGATAAACCTACCACTTGTGCCATCACAAGTTGATCTATTTCCGTCCATTTTTCAAATTCTAGGTTGACAATCATTCCCGTACCATCTGGATTTGGTATAACTTCAGGCGGGGGTTTCTTCTTCCCGTACCGTCCATTTTTCAAATTCTGGGTTGCCACAGTAGATAATTATCACTTCCGAGTTTGATAAGAAGATAATGAGTAACATTCTGGATTGAGGGGAGTGAGCTGCTCGTTGTTGAGCTACTGTTGGAGGCTGTTGGACTGCTACCATGAGTACCTATCTCTGTTGACATGGCTCTGATACCAAGTTAAAATGACAGATGGAGAGTAAAATAATAATTACTGAAAATAGAAGAGAGGAGATTGCAAGAATAATTCGGCTAACCTAAACTGGTTAGGGCCAAGTACCACTCTATTTATAACCACAATCATTGTGTTACAATGGTATTTATAGAGGATAAGATCCAAGATGATAGACATTATCTAGGTTAGCTGAGGGTTATCTAGGATAGCTCTTATCTTGAATGTGGATTAGAGTTATCCTAGTTAATCTAGACAGGCTAGTTATCTACAAGAATCCCAGGGATTTGATTACTCAAACCCGATGGGCCTGGAATCTTTAGTGTTTATCGTGGTCGTGCATGGGCCATGCATGGGTCCATGGACCTCTACGTTATTACAATGCCAGAAGTCACTATGTGAAAGCCCCTCCAAACGAGCACAAAGGCCTTCGTGAGTTGTAATTTGAGTGGTTGAAAATGTAAGAAAATAATACTTTTTGACATTCATGAAGCTTGAAGTTATTGTTTGATTCCACTAGAAAAGACTCCTAGCTACACCACTGTTTCTTACATTCATTTCCTTCCAAATAAAGTGGGGAGTATTTGCACAATCATAATCATGCATTCAAACTCATTTGTATCTCAAAATAAACACAACAAAGTAAAACATTAAACAAAATTATTGAGTTGGAATTTGCACTCACATGTAGGTACACCAGGATAAACAAACAAATGGAGCCTTGTACAAAAACAACATCAATCAATCAGTTGCATCCTCATTGAGTAATTCCAGAAAAACAAATTAAATATTAAACTTATTTATTTATACAAATTAATTCTTCTCATAAATTTGTGCCATGGTTTTTTCCTTGAAGTTAAATGTCATCATTTCTAGTTTTAAAGTAAAAAGCACGTCCTATTCATGCATCCTAATTCTGTTTATAGCCATCCTCAAAAACACCAGAGAAAACGTATATGGAGCCAACTACTAATTATCTTGCAAAACCTCCCCCTCCCCTAACTTTTAATTGGTGATATCAACGATCTTCTCACTGTATACGAAAAATCAACTGCCCAAACCATCGAAACATCTAAAAAACTTCACCCAAATTCTCAACATGTGTAGCTTAGACTTTATAGGGCCACCATAACACATGGACCAATAGGCAACATGGCAAAGCCAGGATATTAGAAAGATTAGACCGAGCTTTTGCCACACACTCTTGGCTGGATCTATACCYGAATTCAATCATACAACATCTACCCATTATAGCCTCAGATCATGCCCCCATTAAACTAATCACTGACCCAATCACAACAACCAAACACTCTCACTTTCATTTTTTGCCTTTTTGGACAGATCAGTCAGACTGTTGAAACATCATCAGTTCATCATGGCAACTTCACATTTTAGGATCACCAAATTTCCAAATAGCCACAAAACTCAAAGAATACAAAAGAAACCTTCAAATTGGAGCCGTCATGCCTTTGGATTAATTCAAGATCAACAAAAATACTTCAATTTCAAACCTACAAATGTAGAACAACAATCCCCAAAAACTTAAAATACTTCAATCCCAATACCTATACTGGCTAAGAAAAGAGGAGGAGGTTTGGGGATTGAAATCTAGAGAATTCTGGCTCCAAGCAGGTGACAAAAATACAAAATATTTTCACAGAACAACAAATCAAAAAGCCATCAAGAGTACAACAGGAAAATGGACATGTGATAGAGAACAAATTACTCAGCTCTTTACAAAATCCATGTAAGATGTTGGAGCAATTAGTGAAAACTTCAATACCCGTCTCCTCTCCTAAATTCCTAGCTCTACCCTCACAAACCAATAAAAAGACAGCATCCTACAGCCTCCAACCTATGATGAAATATCCCTGGTTGCCAAACAAATGCACCCACACAAAGCTCTAGGTCCGGATGGGTATACAACCTATTTTTATCAACACTTTTGGGACATTGTGGATCATGATATACATCAAATGGTGCTTCATTTCTTTCATTCTGAACATCTCCCCAAAGAAATCAACAATACAAATTTAGTGTTTTTCCCAAAGAATCATGACTCTATGGACACCTCACATTTTAGACCCATTAGTCTCTGTAATGTCCTTTTACAAAATCATCTTCAAATGGTTGGTGTCTAGAATGCAGCCGGTCTTAGAAGACATCATCTCCCCTTTTCAATATAGGTTCCTCAATAATAGACAAATAACAGACATCATTCTAACCAAGGAGATATTGCATTTCATGCACAAGCAAAAAAAGGGAAAAGGCATCATAGCTCTAAAATTAGACATGTTGAAGGCTTTTGACAGAATGGGATGGAATTTCATTAAGGAAACACTTCACAAAATGGACCCAGCTCATTCATCAATGTATCTCCACCCCATCTTTCTCAGTCAAGATAGGAGGCAAATGCTATGACACTTTAAACTGCAAAGGGGCTTGAGACAAGGTGACCCTATTTCTCCATATTTATTCATTATTGGAGTAGAGATTCTAACACAATTGCTAGTGTGTGATGAAAAGGAAGGTCTCATAGAGGGTGCAAAGATTTGCAGAAATGGCATGAACATCACTCATTTGCTATTTGTAAATGATTGCATTCTTTTCTGCAAGGCAAAGATGTTTTAAATCAGAATCTTAAGCCAAATCCTCTCCATTTTTGAGAAACTTTCTAAACGAAAGACCAACTATGAAAAATCCTCAATCATGTTCAGGACCAATATACCAAGGCATCATCAAAAATTCATTTCTCACATTCTTAAGGTCCACAAACCATTGCGTGGCACCAAATACCTCGACACCCAAATCGGTGTACAAGACAATAGAATATCATCACACCAACCATTAGCGGACCGAGCCCTAGATAAAGTCACCTCATGGAATTATAAACTCCTATCCCAAGCAGGTCGTACAACTTTGATCCAGTTAGCTCTCCAAGCAATCCCAATCTATTCAATGCAAACTTCAATACTACCTTAACCTAGGGGGTACATTCAAAACTGAACAAGGTGATTAGGGAGTTTTGGTGGTAGGCGGGTGAAAAGCAAACAGAACACACCATCCAATGGAGCAAAGTCAGTTAGCCGAAACAAAGAGGTGGCATGGGTTTCAAGAAAAGTATGGACATGAACAAGGCCATTTTTGGTAAACAAGTATGGCTACTCATCTCCTCTCCCTATACTTTAGGAGCCAGTTCATCAAACAAAAATATTTCCCAAAACGAAGCCCATTTCAAGCCAAAAGAACCCACAACTCATCAATCTAGTGGTGTTGGACATTCAAGATTTTGAAAGAGTCAAACCCAATATATTGTAGCAAGTCAACACAAGGGAGAATAAAGCAATCTTTTCAGATCCATGGATCCCAATCATCATAGGAGGTATACCCTACCCCAATGACCCAATCCTTGTACAAAACAAGAACCAACTTGTCTCAACATTATTAAACCCAAACCACACTTGGAACCACAGAACACTGTTTCAACTCTTCGGTAGCCAAACATGCTCACACATTCTTCAAATCACTCCTAACAGAGAATCAAACCATAAAAATATTATATGGAAACGTAACATCTCGGGGATCTACACAGTCAAGTCAACTAACAAATCTTTCGAAACCCAACAACCATCTTCACAAACTCACTTCACTTGGAAAGAGCTATGGAAACTGARCATCCCCTACCAGTGTATGGTTTTTGTTCGAAACCCAACAACCATCTTCACAAACTCACTTCACTTGGAAAGAGCTATGGAAACTGAGCATCCCCTACCAGTGTATGGTTTTTGTTCGAAACCCAACAACCATCTTCACAAACTCACTTCACTTGGAAGGAGCTATGGAAACTGAACTTCCCCTACCAGTGTATGGTTTTTGTTTGGAAATTAGTGTGGAATGGAGTGCTGACCCGAAACAAATGTATGAATAATGGTTACCCCAGTCTGAATTACATTTTCCTTTCTGCCAATCCAGCAAAGAAAACACCCAACATATTTTCTTTACATGTCCTTTTACAAGGGCGGTCTAGGGTGAAGCACAGGTAGGTCTGAATCTCGATGAAATAAATGAAGAGGAAGATACATTTGCCTCTATAAATAAGTGGTGGGACAGGTTGAAAATAAATTTATCTCCACGAGTTTAAACACCTTGTTGGCAAAGGTTGTATACTATTATATATATATATATGTCATTTGGAGAGTGAGGAATGAAGTCATTTTTAAAAATTCTCACATCACTCCAAAGGATGTCTTATATAGAATGTGGAAGTACCAACCCATTCAAGACCATTGCATGAGAATCACAAGGAACTCAACTTCAGCAAGCAATGCTTGCCAAGGGAAGACTTTCCTGCACTACAAATTGATGGTTCATACAATCCAATTTCATGTTTTGCAGGACGAGCTCTCATGTGGAAGAACAAGTATTGCTGAAGGAGAACCCTGTTGGGCCATCGACAGTTATGATGCAGAAATCAGATCCCTAGTCCAAGGTTTAAAGGCAGCCATTAACAGTAAGATATCTGTGTTAAAAATTTACACCGACTCTCTACAACTGATCAACTTTTTACGAGACAAAAGCCAACCAAGAAACTGGATTGAGCAGCTCCATGGCGCACACCTGAGAAGACTTTTGTCTACTTTTGATCAACTTAGTTTTGTACATATAAATAGAAACTACAGTACTGCTGCTCATATATTAGTATATCAAAGTTCAGCTTAGGATAACATACAACTCAGTATGTCAAGATGTACAGTTCTCTTTACCTAAGTAATGGAATCGCTGCTGCCAAAAAAAAAAAAAGTAAAAAGCACATTAAATAATGTCATTATTTCTAACTCTTTTCTCCTCTCTCTCCTCTGTTCAGATTTTGGAATTGTAATTTCTGTCACAGCTTCTACATTAAAACAACTATGATTCAGTAAGATTTTCAGAACGATTGTGAGGCCCTCGAGTGAGTATATACAAAATTGGAGAGAGGAAATTAACAAAAAAAGATGATAAGAAGCCCCAAATTGAAGACAACTAAGGTGATTGCCTGAAATCAGAAGGAGAAAGCATCCTGGTCAGGCTTTGGCGATGTTAACATAGCTGTATAGAGGCGGAGCCTGTCTTCTCCCAAAGAAGAACAACGAGACAACGGTCTCCTCGGCCGTATAAATGACAATGAAGTGAGTGTTAACCGGTGTTTGTACCTCCTCCAAGCTAGTTGAATGGCCACAGCTGCCCAGGTTCTCCATCCAGGCGAGTAATACCGTGCACTCCTCTTCACTCTCTCGTTCACAAACGTATATCGGAAGTGCTGAGTGACATACTTCACATCCTCAGCTTCTAGCCCAAAGGCTTCAGTGGTCTCAAGTGTCACTAACGTCGACGATGATGGAGGTAGACGTTCCACAAATGGGCGCCTGAGACACCAGGACAGCAGCTCATCTCCACTGAAGTTGCCAGGTCCCAGCATGCAGCAACTCTTTACACCGTCTCTTAGTACTTGGCTGCTTTGGAGATGGCCTCTCACAACAAATAACATTCTTTGAACTGGGTCACCCTCCCTAGTAATCTGTATGCATGGTGATCGATATATATTATACTCCAAGTCCAAGGCATTACAAATTTACAAAATAAAAAGGGGTATATATTTTCATCATCATCTACTTCCCTCTGAGAAAATGGGCCAAGTTTGAGTTTGGTGGTGAGAATGTAAAAGATGTAATAAAACAATGGTGAGATATTCCAAACTTACCGTTTCTCCCTTCGGAAATATGAGGGATTTCACACGGTCACATATGTTCTCCAGAACCAAATCATCCATATGTTGAAACAGTGGTACCTGAATCCAAATAAATAAATTTATTTCTTACTCTAAGCGAGGGAAATCGGGACAAACTAAACAGAATAAGGATTTGGGTTTTGTACAACTTGGACAAAACCAGCCTTCAATGATCTTTCCTAATGTATCATTTCATTTTGTTTTGTTGTGACTTGTGAGCCTTCTTGGGCTATAGCCCTAGCACTGGAGAATATGGAAAAAGACAAAAAGTGTAGCATGGCGATGGCGTGCGTACCCAGATTTCGACTTTCGAGGTCCGTTTTTATGCACAGTGGATTGAGACTTACCAGTGCTGAACGGGTCCCGCTGCCGCTGGAAGCCTGCCATCATGTACGGTTACCAACCATGCGATGCGTAGCATACGGTAAGGCCTCCTTCAGCTGAGTTCACATCTAACCCCCCAAAATCGCCCCAGCTTGGGCTTGGGTTGAGACCGCCAGACCGGTCTAAGTGCCCAGCCTAATGGGCCCTCAAAACACATATAAATATGTACTGGACCTTTTAAATAACACACAAATAAATATTATCTTTATAATAAAACTTTATTTTCTTGATGTTTTTGTATTATGCTTTTACAATTTAGATATGATAATCTTCTCTTACTATTTTTTTTTTTTTTTACTTTTCCTTTTTCCTTTTCTTATTTGCATTATAGAGTTGTAACGTACAAATCAAGATTCCTAACGAGTTAAATAAAGCCTGTGAGTTGAGGTTGGTGATGATGGGCCCAGTTACAATCTCGTGGGCTGGCTTAGTCTGACCTTACAAGGCCTATTTTGGATGGTGGATTGATTGCTCCGATCAAACCTAGTTGAATGAAAGTCTGACTGACTAACACACATCGACATTGGCAGATGCCAGATGGTACTTACTCACTGTGAGGACTAGGTCAAGATCGTAAAGTAGGCCCACCTACCTGAGGCCCGTAGGCTTGGTCCAAACAATCCAAACAAGGAGCAGAGAGGCCATCGCGTAACTAGAAAAGAACAGGATTCTTCTACTACACGGTTGTTTGTCTCCATAATCATTAAGGGGTTGGCACCAAGAGATTGAGAGAATGCACAGTGGTAGCTAATTGATGGACACACATGGAGAAAGTGGTGTTTAAAAGCTTCTAAATGAAACGGAAATATTGTATTTTATCTCTCATGAAAACATAAGAATCCTTGTGTTTTCCTTACTTTTGTTATATACACCTCCTATGACACCTATTTAATTAGGTGGGCCATAAGCTTGCAATTATTCTGCCTGCTTTGTAGCTCTTACCTCATGCAACTCAGTTTTCTAGAAGTTGAATTATTGCTGAGTTGTTGATTCAGTTACTGATCCTAAAACTTTAAATAATAATTAATAAATACAGTGAGCATTTGCTACAGGATTAATTGATATTTTTATTATACCCAACTTGCAATTGGAACCTTTTCTAAGGTGAAAGGAAGATGAGCCAAGAGAGGAACTTGGTGCAGGTATAAGGCGTTACCTGTCTCACAAGATCAAGACAGAGATGATATTTGATATCCCTCCTAAGCCCCTCAGGCAGGTTTCTGATCATCTGACATTCATCCACCCCTCTCATGGCTGCCCACCGCTGTCGCTCATACTGACGTACTCTCTGCCGGAAAGCCTGAGGCAAGTGCCTCCGCCTCATCCACCATTCCACATTCCTCATCTTCAACTGCATTGCTTGTTTCTTTGATGTAGTTGCATGCAAGAAAACCTGCGTCCAGTACTTACGCGTCAGAAATATGAAAACTTGATTCTATTCTTTAATTAACCACTCAGTACCGTAGTTCAAGGGCTACAAATTTCCTGCATACTTTGATATTTCCGATCAACATGGTCACCAGGAGGAGGCCACTGGTTATGATGATGATATTGAACACAATTTCCATCCATTCCGTTGTGCTTTCTAGGTTCCCGAACGTACTGGCCATACACAGAAAGAACTCATAGAGTTATAACTACTAAAAGAATTATACTGAAAACATATAGTCTCCGGCCCATGTGATAATCACAGAAGCTTGCCTTGATCGATCATGAAGTTCATGTCTAGGGGCGGAGGGGTGTGCAGGTGTCAATTGGTCTAGGTTTGGTTCAATCCCATCCGGTCCATTATGAGTCCATTACAGATGGACCAGGTCCAATCCAGTCCAATGAACACTACTACTTACTGGTGGTTCTAATTAAATTCTAATTGGAAAGAGAATCGAAGCTGAATTGAGAAGCAAACTTTATCAACCTGAGAGTCATGAGGCCCCAGAAGATTGGAAAGAGTATCTTCTCCAAACGACTTTCGTTTGTAACCAAAGGGACGGTCCATTTGTAAGCTCCATAGTCGAAGTTGTCAGCGCTGTCAATGCACGTGGATCTGACGTGCACATTCTCTCCCCAAGCCAACCTTTCTCTATCTCTCACCATCCTTGTTCCATAGTAGATAGGATCTTGACATGCTAATGTCCTAGGTCCACACCCTTCTGTGATTCCGCATTGCAATTTCAGGCACTTTGCTGCTCTTTGGATTCCTAGTAAGTACCAACACGCACCTGCTGCCTGTTCCATAAAAATTTACATTATAAGCTTTAATTTGAGTAATTGCAAGATTTGAGGTTCATATCCGGTCCACTCCTCACAAGAGGAACAAGACCCAGATGGGAAATTCATCCATGTTTGGCTGAGGCTCTCTTAATTAACTTGTTTCAATGCTAATTAAAGGGTCTGAAATTAAATCAAGTTTTCACTATATATGTATATATATATATATATTGATATATTGTTTACTAATTAACCCCAATTAATAATTTACTAGAAAATTATAATAAACAAACATCTAAATATAGCAGTAGTGATTTAAAATTCTGAATGGTGATATGGGTCTTTCATCCTTTTTCTCATAATATTTGTAAACAACTTTCTTTCAATGGGAAAAATGATGCATTTTTCACTGGGAACAAAGCTCAGAAACATAAAAATTAACAAGATGCAATAAGAAATTATAAACATAAAATGCAACTTTGAACTCCTAATTAATAAAATTCATCTTTCAAAGGCAATAAATGTAATATAAATAGTTTATGCTGCGACGAATTAAAATGTTGGCATCGTTAAAACGTGAAACAAATGAGAAAACCAGATGAATATCAAAGGAACAAGAAAGCAAACAAATTACAGATTTTGCCTGTTTTGGCAGTGTGTCTTCAAATCCACGGGGAACTACTAAAAAATTTATAGTGAGGATATCGTATCTGCAATATCGAGTTATATATCGACAGCTGAGGATAGATATATACTTACATGTGATGCAACAAAATAAGCGATCAAATTAAGTGCAATCCCCCACCAAACAGTCCCAAATATGTAACCCGAGAGGTTCTGCATTCGACGTAAGAGGCAGACGGAGTGGTAAATTTTGGGGAGATATTGAAAGAGGAATATAATCAAGAACACTGTCATTACAATGGTGGTCGACCCTCTTTCCAACAGAGAGGGAATTGCTACCCATAGCACAAGCTGCATCAAAAGCATTATATTCTTTAGTAAGTTCAGCAAAACTGCACTAGACATTTAAGTAATGAATGGTAACTCAGTCAGAATCTGTGATGTTCTAACATATTCCCTCGGCTTCTAGTTACTTGTTTTTAATCTTATTTGATAGAGGGGGAATGATGTGATGGTACCTCAATCATAGACTTCTATAGTTTGGACAAAACTTAACTGTTAGTAGTATCAGAGTAGGTCAAATATTTTTTGAACTGAGATGATGAGAGAGAGAGAGAGAGAGGTGAAATTCAGATTATAGGACGGATCCAGCTCTGTGCAGATTGACGAATAGGAACAAAAAGCCTTTAATGAGGATCGGTGGTAGAAATTGAAGCTTTGGATAATATATATGATGGCAATATTATAACAATAATTACTGGTTTGGCTTCTTCCACTTCATTAATAAAAACCCTGGACAAGTGGACATCACTCCATGGTGTTCTTCACTTCGTCCAAATTATATCATTTCTGTTGAAATACTGAAACTCATCTTCTACTTCTGCTTAATTTTCCTCTAAGTTGATATAAACGGGGAAGAACCGAAGAAAGTTCTAACAAAGACAAGAATAATATAAGTTATATTTCTATTGCGAGTTTGGAAAGAAATTGAGATCTTCACGTAGCGAAACTGTCAACTAGGAATCATATGTAAATTTAGAAGGTTGGTTGTTGAGATCATTAGAACGATAAGTTTCAAAAGTCGAGTAAAAAAGGTAGATAAAATTTGCATCTACGACTTGGTTCGATTCTCAGTGCGAATTGGAACACTATATCAGTCCACATGCTTAGCAGGTAGCAGGTAAATTTCACCGGATGCAGGGGAATGGATATGGTAACTAGCTCACATGTTTTCACTGCAAGGTGCAGGCTTGCACAACATGCATTGGTTAAAACAACTCACATGCGGTTGTCATGACCTAGAGAACTGGCTTAGAGAATATCTAATCTCTGAAAAATTAAAGGAAAATGTGTTGATAGCGAGTGGACGATGATGGAAATGAAGATGAGTAGCTAGAGTGGAGAAGGAAGGAAGGAAGGAATTGAGTACTCACCTGGGGAAGGGGGAGAATGATGAAGAGGTCGAAGAAGAAACCCTTTTTGGCCTTCAAGTATCGGAGGGCTACGGAGCGAGCAGTGGCGTTGCGAAGACTGTCTCCGTCTTCTACCACCATGGCATGCGAGCGCTTCACCATCTTGAGCTGCAACCACATGTTCCAGACGTGCAGGGCGTCGGTCATGCAGCGGAGTGCAGTGACTGTGATGGCGAACCATCCATCAATGAAGAGGCACATGCATGTATTGCTTATTGAAAGGGCATAGAAGAAGAGAGGGTCGACGAAGAGTCCAGTTGCAGAAACGAGGAGAAATACCCGGTTCCACTCTTGAATCCACCTGGCTCGAGGGTCTAGCACCCGCCCAAGGAACCAACCTCCCCTCCGAGCCCCGCCGCATGCGGTGCCATACATGCGCTTACACCCATGCATGCTTTTCTCCTCCTCCTCTTTTTCTTCTTCTTCATCATCATCTTCGTCGATGCCGCCATAAGTATGATACGAAGCTTCTTCCTGATCAATTGCCATATCCTCGGGGCGACGGAGCTGGGACTGGGAGAGAGAGAGCGCGAGAAGCTGAGACTTGAGTGTGTATATATGTGGCTATATATATGTGAGAGAGGAGATCAGGGGCGAGAGAAGATATAGATACCAGCTGGTATTCCGGAGATTTATTTATTTATTTATTGCTTTAATTGTGTAAGAGAGTATAATTAATAAGTAGAGTTTTAATTCGGAGATTGGACCGAAAACATGTTTGTTGTTGAACAAAGAAACAATAATTGGAGAAGAAACAGGAAACAGGAAAGCCAGAAAAACTTGTGGGAGAGAGAGATGGGTTCAGGAGTTTAGGAAAGGGACAATCTTATGAACACATTTACGGAAATACCCTTGCATTACTCTATTAATGTCGGGTGCTGCGATGTCTGTGTTGATTCCATATGTGCATCCCAAATTTATGATTCCCGGTTAAACTCTATCTGTACTACTACTGTTCACTTGATAAAGAGGACAAGAAAGCTACGGCTTCCTTGTTTGCCATGTATTCAACTTCAAGCAGGCGTTCCTGTCCTCCGGTTTTTTTACTTTTTGAGCCCGGCCGCTTGCAACCGTCACCACCGCCTCCTCACCCTGTGAAGTTGCATTGATTGGCATTTCCTACATGAAGAACTGACAAACTTGTTTGTCATAATTACCCCAAGTTTCATGCACAAAATTGGATGTGTATATTGCATATACCTTACTGATGTCAGGGGTAGTTTTGTAAATTAAACCAGGCCAAGCAAGGGAACTCTAGAGATATGAAGCTAAGAACGAAGAAGGAAGGTTCAAAAATGATGTATATGTCTAGATGGTGATTCCAAGGACTGAGGTTCGGTGCAGCTTCCCAGCTTTTGTTTGCTTGTAAATCAATAATAACACCTCAAAGGTGATGTGTAGAGAGCCAGTAGCCACTAGACTATACTTGATTCCATTCTCTCTCTCTCTCACAAACCCATCAGATCTGTCCCTTTCCTGTAATTGAGTAGAAACCAGTTAGTTCTTGCCTTCATCTGGAACAGGGCATTGATCTTTCTGCCAAGGAAACAGCGGTATTGCCCTGAGTTACTCCCATTCTTACAAGTTACAACCCTTGGAGACCAGAGATCAGACTCGATGTGGTCCTTTTCTCACATGAACCCTCCATTTGTGATTTGTCCTTCCACAGAGACAGCTCTTATGGTCCATGTAGGGAGGTTTGGAACAAACGAGCTTGCTTTCTACTTATTGCTCTGGTTCACACATTAATTTATTATGATACAGAAATTGTGAACTTGTACATTGGTAAGCCTACACCACTGCTAGCTCCAACAGTTGCAAATTTTATCAGAAGCAACAAGGTGCATGATCGATCAACTTGTGGGTTATCCAAAGTTAGGAGAGCTGATCATTTGAGATTTCATCATCCAGTGGTAATAGCTAGTCCTGCGCATGTTTGACAGATGACAATCCATCATGCATCTTCTTCAATTTTCCTTTAATTTCTTCTCTCCTGTGATTATTAGATGCCTTGTTATTCTTCTTCTCCTTTTTCTTCCACTCCTTTCCACTGGTCAGGTGTCTGACCTTGAACACAAGACTTCAATGTGCAGTGTCCAAAAAAGAAATAATCGATCGATCTCGACAAAAAACTGCTGCATATTATACACGTAACTGATACACCCATGTGAGACGCGACAATTTCTTAAGGTGTCATCCTCTTCGAATTTATATATAATTAAAAAAAAAAAGAAGAAGGAGAATTGCATAAACATCCAAGATGATGGTGTGAGTGTGAGGTATTTGATTTGATGTAGCCAATTAATAAAATAAGACTGTAAGGCCATAAGGACGATGGCCTACACCAAGTACAAATTCACCATTAAATTGGAATAGTTGTAGAGAAAGAGAACTATGCATGTATATCACCAAACCCCTGAACAGACTCCACCGGGTCACGCCGAGCTTTGCATTTGACTTCGACCAACCATCTGACTTACAGACTTGGTGTTCTATTGTATACTCTTTTATCTTTATAATGCGTTTATTTGCAAGAGAATCTGCTGCTTTCGCCAAGTGACAAATATAAAATTGAAATTTGCTAAGCACGGGAGTTGTTTTTTCTTGTATGCCATACAAAAATCATCTTACACCACACATCTGCATCATTAACATTCTTGTGAGAGATAATTGGAGCCTGGATCTATTTGAAACTAGCATGGTCCAACTTCACATATACCCAGATCGGGACCCACCAATAATTGACGGAGCTTGATAATATCCTACTAAATAATTCTAAGATCTAAATTTTGATATCAACCAACTTTTGCTACGACATGGGCTAAACCCCTGAAATCAAAGCCTTCCTTGTATTGCTGTATCCCCACCTACTAAATTTTGGCTTGTTAAATATTTGAATTCGGCTTGAAGTAATTGAGTTCTAGTTAAGTTCAACTCTGGTCAAGTCCAATTTAAACTTCACAATATCTGGCTCGAGTAGCTTGTGAGTTTAATTAAACTAATAAACAAATTTATATTTATAATATAAATAAAAATGATTTTTTTGACATTAACTTATTTATAATAAAATTAAATATATTTATAATTGATTTTCATAATATATTTTTATTTATAGTATTTACTAACATTAATTTATTTATAATTTTTAATACTAATTTATATATAACCAACTCAAGTCAAGTCTAATTCAAGTAACTCACAAGTATTAAGTCAAGTCGAATTTGAGACAAATACATGAAATTCAATTGAACTTAAAACGAGTTTTGTGTTCTGTATTTTTATGTTAAGCTCGACTCAATTAGATTACACCCATAATCTTGAAGGCCATGGGCGCTAAAGCAATGTTATAGCAATAATAAGCTCTTTTGATACATCCATACAGATAAAGGTCAAAAAATAAATATGCTCTTTTTTCTGCTATAAATATTTGAAAATTAATATAATTGAATATATTTATTAGGAATTTATTGATTACTTGTAGCATTGGACTTGATTCATAGCTAGCTAGGATCTGCTACGCAATAGACACTACCCACATCCTTCCCACGACACTACAACCACACAATGGAAACATCTCATCCCCTTGAATGATGACATATAAATAGGAGAGATGTCCCCAATATACGGCTGCAGTGTCCTATGGGCAGCTAGCTTGACATGCGGAACTGCATTGGACATTTTGGACCCGCTAACAATGAAATATTAAGCAAAATTGACAGGGGTGGTTTAAACTTGAGAGTGGGAAGATTTCATTTAAGAGTTTGACCAATCAAAACCCACCCTTAAAAATTTTAAGCTCGGTTTGGTTTGTGGGATGGGATGAGAAAATGTGAAAATAAAACTATTTAGCTCCAAAAATCAATTGCCTCTTTAAAAAGTTTCAAACTCTCATTGAATCCATAATTTTTCACATAACAACGGAGCATTGCTGTCCATGAATGGCATTTGTGAGAAGGTACTTTAACCCGCTTTGTCCTATGGTATCATGATTCATAAATTCTTTTTCTTCCTGTAGTGATTTCAAGTGCCCATAGGCTCCAAATTAAATGATAGGGATCATGACTGGTGACATGGGCTTGGATGAGACTGTTCCAAGCGAAGGTGTTTGACAGGGAATTTGGTCGAACATATGGTGGGTGATTGAAAATTTTCAGGTTTAGAGGAGATTTAAAGCTGAGCTTCAACACTACTGGCTTGCCAAAGTTGGGATTCGTTTATTGGTTTCTGGGCTTTGAACATTGTATCTGTTACAATCGAAGGGCATCTATTTGTCTATAGTTGGATAAATTCTGAAAATAATTAATTATCAGAATGAGTTGAGTGCATTTGAAAATAATTTATGAAAATCACAATTATAATCGAAGGAACGATAGTGGTGTTTGGAAACATTTGGTAGAAATCATTGAATTAGGATAACAGTAATATACTGTTGACGTTTGGTGTGGCTGCGCAATTCAACAGTCACAATAAATGATGTGGTTTGGTGTGGCTGCTGAGATTTCAAGAGCCACAATTACTGCTCTACCATTTCGATTCCACCAAAAACTGTTGCATTTATTTTTGCCTCCTCCGTTTCTTTCGCCATAATTTTTAGGGACCATGTTCCCTATTTTCTTATATAAAAAGGGTGCCTCCCGGGGGTAGTACACACATGGAGAGAGAGCATTAGAAAGCTGAAGAGATTGGGAGAATTCCATCGCCATCTTCCAGCAAGATCTACAGTCATCTATGCTATGGAGTGCATCAAGACTTTGTTATAGGCATTTCGGCACTTGTAAGGTGGTCAGTTTGTAATACTCTCATCAAGGATATGAATAAACAAGTTTTCTTTCCTCTCCCGTGGANCGGCACTTGTAAGGTGGTCAGTTTGTAATACTCTCATCAAGGATATGAATAAACAAGTTTTCTTTCCTCTCCCGTGGATGTAGGTCTCTTTGACCAAACCACGTAAATCTGGTGCCATCTTTACCTTTCCTTTTGCTCTTATTATTTGCTTTATAATTCACATATTTCTCAATTATTTTCTTAATTCGGAATTCAATCCTAACAATTGGTATCAGAGCATTGTTTTTTTTTTTGGATTATTTACCGATTAATTTTGTTACTAATGGCATCAATGAAGTTTGACATTGAGAAATTTGATAGATCTGTGAATTTTGGTCTATGAAAGCTCAAGATGAGAGCGATTTTGATTCAGAACGGCTTGGAGAAAGCCTTGGTGGGGCAAAAGAAAAAGCCTGAATCCATGTCCGATGAAAAGTGGGAGGAGATTGATATGA